TTTTTTTTTTTTTTTTTTTTTTTTTTTTTGCATTTTTTGCATATTTTGAGAACTCTCGTTTATTGCATTTTATAGAGATCAAGCACAAGACTGGTGGTGGTGTCCCCTTTTTTGCGCTTACTCTATCCAAATGCGCTTACTCCAGCTGGTGGCACAATATCTGGAGGCGCTATCGCCTCTCTGATCCTCTAGTTTTTTTTTATTCTAGAGTTTTAAAACTGATGCTCATGGGTCAAAATTGCAAAAGTTTTTTTCCAAAGAGCTTTTAGCCATTATCACTTTGATGAGTTATATTGATGAAGTAATACCTCCTACATTAAAAAATGTATAATAATATAAATTGATATAATTTTTTTCTGATTAATTTTCAAAAGGTTTTTGCCCTCCATATTAATTTCTCGCCCCCGTCTGATTTTATTATCTTCCCTTAATTTTTAAAAAATCAAGATGTAATTATGAAATGTTGCATAATTGCAGGAATCGTGGTACAAGGATCAGAAAATGTTTTGCGGGACAACCTGGTGGTCAAAGCCATTAACCAGGACAAGTGGCTGAACACAGGTCAAGCACAGGTCATGATTTATGAAGGGGGAATTGAAGTCGATATGGCAGAAAAAGTAGTTGTCACTGGCAACCATGTTGCTGGGGCGGAGAGAACGGCCTTCAAAATACGAGGTGAGAGGCATAAATTGGTGTTTTTTTGATGTGCAGGTACATTTTGAAGGAAATGCCTGAAAAGTTTGCTTTGAAATTTTAGTGAAATTCTTTTTAAAATATTCTGCCTTAATGTTAGAAAAACCTCACCCAATATTTCTATATTAATATCAAATGCTCACAAAATGTGCTCTTAGACATACATCTTGAATCAAGAATTTTGATGATTAATTGCTAACAAAACACTGTTCAGATAAAAATTATTAATTCATAAATATTTTCACATCACTTGAGTAATTCTTGTACTTCTCATCATCATTGCACCTTACAAAGAATTTACCATTATTCAGGCGAGACCTGTCCTCACCAAGAAAATGGCGTTGAACCTTTTGCTGGCAACGTTGCCCACTCTGCACTGCTGGGCGTTGACGTCTTCTACCTGACCCAAACCTGCTCAGATGTTGACTGCGTCAAAATCTCAAACTTTTTCATCTACAAGGCATGGGACTTTGGGGTCTATCACCAAACAGCATGTGATATTGAAGCATCAGGTATGAACGTGGCAAATATTTAGATATGAAAGTCTTCCATTTATTAATTTATATAATTATTCATTATTTACATCCGTTTATTTTATTTAATTTTCTTTTTATTTTACTAGCCTTATGCATTCTATATTCATATTGCATTGTAATGTGTACTGAGCATAATTGGATTTTAGACTCTAAAGTAAATGTTTTTATTATTTTTTTAATTGTATTTGTACCATAAATGCAAAGATTGATAATTTACCAATCTTTTTTAAATTTCATCACTGTTTTTATTGACTTTATCATGCAGGATTGGTGATTGTGGACAGTTCCTTTGGGTTCTTCCCTCTGGTTATAACTCCCAGTGCTACTGGCCACGCCTACAAGTTCCACTACGCCAATCTGAGCAATTCCACCTTTGTGGGCAATAGTCCCGTGTTCGACTGCAATGACAAGATGGACAGCAGCGACCTGAACGTAGGTTTCACTGGCAACAGTCGCAGTATAGGACAGAGCAAGGGCTCGGGGACCATGAGTACCGTAGGTAAGTAGGTGGATTCTGGACGGATTCTTTGTGATGTAAAATTATGTCTTTGGTTATCATTAAGTTCATACTTGACAGTTTACTTAAAAGCTTTGTAAATATACTGAGGTACATTTTTTACTTGAAGTTTCTTCTCATTGTTATTTGTACAGTGTGTATCTTGTATTTTTAGGAAGGGACAAATATTGTTATTTTGTAGTGTGTAGGGTGGAAACCTATCTGAACTTAATTTTGTGTTTTTGCATAGGAGTCAGTTGGCCTGGTTTTTATTCTGGAGCTAATAATGCACCGGGAAAACCGTTTGCTGGAATAATGACCTATCCCGCCATTGCTGGGGTCCTGAATATGAAAGGTTGGTTCTGATTTTTCAACTCGAGAAGAATTATATTCAACCATTTTGTTTTTTTGCACAGGTGTCAGTTGGCCTGGGTTTTATTCTGGGAATAATATGGCTCCTGGAAAACCATTTGCAGGAATAAAGACATATCCTGCAATTGCTGGAGTCTTGAATATGAAAGGTTGGTTTTTGAGTGCTGAGTTTGACACAATAAGTCTGACACATCAAAGATGCAACTTCAGTCATTGTATTATTGTGTCTTATCAAGTAGTCCACTGAAAACTGGAGACTTCTTTAGATGATTTAGGAGTGAAACCTTTTTTAAACAGTGTCAAAATATGTTGTGTTTTATTATATTTGAAAAATGTTCATCTGAAAGAGCAGTGCGTCCACATAATTCATCTGTGTCTTAGAAGTGTTTTATAAGTGTCTTGAACGCCATTAATTCCAGGCAACCATTTTGCCCACTACAAGTCAGTGTGTACGTCCAAGAGAAGCTTTGCAGTGGGAGACAACCCTGGAAACGCTGACGCCTTGCACCCCATCAGTGCCTCTGGCACCTCCTTTGAGGATGTTGAAGAAGACAGCAAAGTTTTTATCCATAGATCAAATTTGGGGTTAGTGTTATGGGTTTTATTTTATTTTGTATTTTTATATGAACTATTTCTGGCAGATTCATTCTTATATACATATAATTACATTTTATAAACATTGAAATTTTTTCCATTGAATTTAATGATTATCTGTGAAAGAGCTGTAACATGCCAAAGCATAAGACTTGTATTTTGCAAATTCATAAACAGTTGTCTTCTTGACATTTAAGTCCATTTTTCTCAAAACATTTAAAACTGCAGCTTTTTAATTTGATGAACATTCTTGCTGATTCCTACACTCCCTTCTAATTTTAGGTTTTGTATTTGTTGACTTAAATAACGTAAATACTTGTGTCTTTGTAGCAAAGTCAATCCTTCAGACTGCGTTGACATGGAATGTGACGCACAGAAAAAAGCCATGATGCGCGACGAGGACAACACCTTCCTAGCAGGCACGGGGCCCGCGGCCATCATCCCGGACTCTGCATTTGAGTGGAATGGCGACCGGCGTAGAGGACTGGGAGACTACCGCATCCCTAAGACTCTTTTGACTGAGCTCGATGGAACTAGAATTCCCGTAGCGAACATAGCACCATACAAAGGTAGGGGCATTTGTAATGGCAGGTATTTTTTCACCATGACAAATGATAATTATAGGGGTGTTCTTGAGATCCAAGTTTCTCAGAACCAATGCATTTTTGGATCAGTTTGTGAAACGTCTATTACAGTAACTGGAAGCAGCAGAGTGGAGAGAAGTAACCTAAAAGAGTGAATTCTTTTGTAAAAAAATCAACTAATATTACTATATGTTTTAACTATCTACCGGTTTTTACCCGTTTGAAATCGCTAACAGATTTGAACTGTTATCGGTGGATAACAATGGTCTTTAAATATTTGCTATGATTTTCAAGGTATCATCGGAACAAGCACCTCCTCTTGTACATGGAAAGCAGCCTGGCAGGCTTATGCATGCCACGGACTGGACTACGAGATGCTGATCATCGAAAGTCTGGACGCAGACACAGAGCTGCGTCGCCTTTCACCTGTGGCCATCTTGGGTGACCAGCACATTGATCTGATCAACGGCCCTCAGGATCATGGCTGGTGCGCTGGTTATACTTGCCAGAAGAGGCTGTCCACATTCAATGCCATTGTAGCCACAGGTGAACCATGTTCTTAATTTTTGAAATTTTTTTTTTTTTGTTCTAGTGAAGATATTTTAGAATTGTGTATCATGTATCAATATAGGATTTAAGAAAAAAGGAATTTTTATTTATTTATTTTTTTGAAAGGGTGTGTGGTGGCTGGGGAATATAATTGCAGCACAAATGAAATACTGGTCTATTAGCTGTCTCAGGCAAAACTTTTCAGGTTCATTTTGAGGTAGCAATGGAAAAAAAACTTTTATCATCATAAATTCAAAAAAGCAATAATGTTTAAACTTTTGATGTCTGTAAGTTACTTTGGTTTATTCATCTATTCAGGCAAACATTTTGAGATGCATTACACCAGCACGAGTCCTCAGAAGTCGCGCTTCTTCTTGCTGAATGCCAACGAGACGCAGGCTGTGAGGTTGGCTGTTTGGTATGCTAATCCTCAAAGGTAAGGTGCTATTTACACTCTTGGGCTGTATTCCCAGAGCTTTTAGATCGATCTATCCCCGCGGGGAGTCTCACTAGATTACTGTCAGATAATCCGGCTTAAATGTCCATCCCGCCTACTACAAGCTGTAAGGGGGTAATTAACTTTCGTGTCCGCCCGGCTGACAGCTATTTAGCGTGAACCCCCAGGGAGTTAGGTCGATCTAAAGTAGATCGATCTAATCTCTGGAAATGGGGTCTTGGTCACACGGTGACTTGTAGGCCCATGAGGCTGGGTGATGTACTCATATCACATGTCATGTTAATAAATAAATACTACTAATACTACTACTTATAGTCCTACTGTGGGGACACAGGAACAGTTTTCTACACTCTTGTGTAGCGTTCTCTTTGAATGAAGAGCAAAATCAGGCATATAGGCAGGGGTGGTCCAGGGAGTTCAAAATTAAGTACCACCCCTTAGGCCAGAAAAAGTTCATTTTTCCAGAAAAAAGCCACTCCCCCAATTAAATCACTGGCAACAGGCCTGAGAATGATCTCTTGATTGTTGCATATATATATCAACACGATAAAACAAATCAGATAACAAAGAAAAAAAAACTGGTACTAACTTTGAAAGCTACTGTTTTGAAATAACGATAAGATGTAATTAAATGAAAAGGTAAGTGACATTTTGTTGTATAAACCATACTTTCATTTTTGCCTTCAGGTTGGTCGTGAAAGTCAATGGTCAATATATTAATGCCAAAAATATCGACTATGACAAGAACAACAGGGAAATATTTAAAGCTCCATCATTTGAAGGTGAATTTTGGCCTGATATTGCCAATGATCCTACTGGCGCCAATTTCTTTGACCGTAACACTGGCCTGCTGTACTTCCTAGTGCGCGGCAGCACACCTGTCTCCATTGACACTCTCCCAACAATTAATGTGGCTTTCAACATGCCTGCCCTCACTGTGGATGAATTCTTTGGGGAGAATATCATCAACAATCTGGCGGCATTCTTGGATATCCCCAAAGACAAGATACGTATTGTCAAAATTGTACGCAGCACGGATGGTTCTCGCAAGAAGAGAGCTACTGGTGAGGAAACTTTTACACTTAACATGAATTGAGAAATATATTATTGATTAATTTTAGACACAACAATCCCTTTTTTGACACAGAGTCAAATTCCAAAATTTTTGTTACTTCAGCATTTTCTGTGTATAGCTCATAAAAATTAATTGTGGAAACTAATAAATTGAATTACATTGTTCAAATTTATTGAGAAATTATCAGAATATGTATTCTCTGATTTGTGCTCCCTTTAATCAATGTTTTTAATGGCACCATTATTATGATTCAGGCACTATGAAGGTGGAGATAGAAATTGGCAACTCGCCCAGTAACGGATCCGTCACCGACAACTCCACGACAACCAACCCAGGCGATCTAGACTTCGCAACCCTGCAGAACGTCACCGCCAAAATCTACGACGCCACTCAGCTTGGAACCCTGTCCACCGCCATGAACGTGACTGTTCTGGATGTCAGCATTGTGGAGCCGGCACCATCGCCCTCAGACCCCGCCTGGGCCGAGGTGGCCAATCAGACATCCCCGACTGTGGTGATTACAGTCCCCACTACGTTATCAGTCAGCACTCAACCTGTAGGGGCAATGGAGGGCAACAACCTCACCCAGGCTCCTATACTGCAGATGTACGATAACACTGTAAGTGCCATTGCTAGTGTACTCTTTCTGTTTTGATCATTGTGTTTGAAAAGGGGGATACATTTTTTTTGCCTTTGTTGGTTTGTTAGTGAGAAACAACTTGGAAAGTTTGGGGTGGAATTTGAGCAAATTTTCAGCATAGCAAGGTAAGAAAAGGGCTGACATAGAATAGAGTAGATTTTTGAACTGGTGCATTTATTAATTAATTAGATAATTAATAAATAATAATGAAAAAATGAGCTGCCTTGGCAAAGGTCTGTGCTCTTTTATTGCTTATCTAGTTATATGTATGTGTATATATAATTAACCTAGTTACAGATATAAAGGTTATTTTAACTTCTGCATTTTGCATTTTTATTTAGTTACCAACTTTCAGTTTGTTTTCCAAGACCCACTGAGTAAAAAGGTACTCCATGAACTGACCCCATGTTTACATTGCCAGTTTAAATCTCAGGTGTGTTGGACAAAGCTAACTGTGGTATAACATTCTGTCTTCAGGGGACTCTTGTCACCAGTCTGGGGTCCACAGCCAACCCTTGGGAAGTGACCGCCACCATTCGTGCCGGAACTGGCCATGCCTCCGCGCAATTGAGCGGCGTCACCAAAGTGCAGTATAAAGATGGCATGGCAGACTTCTCAGGTCTCCAGGTCACACATGCAGGCAGTGGGTACATCTTGGATTTCACCTTCACCAAACCTGCAGAGGCCTCTGGCTTCAGTGTGTCATCCTCGACGTTTGACGTGAGTGCCATCCCATTGGCAGCCATTGTAACATCAGTGGATCGTAATGCTACAGTGGGGGCGCCACTGTCTGCTGTTGTTCAGATTGTTGTCAATGGAACCAACGCTGTTCCAGATGACATATCATGGAAGGTAGGTTTGGAATTATTTTTATTTTTCTTGTTTTTTGTGGTTTACTTGACTTGACATTATTTAAAGGCCTACTTTGTTGAAAAATATCCCGTAAACGTGAGAATGAAAACATCTGAAAAAATTGATGATGTACCTGGTGTGCATCCATCTATGGTAACAAGTAAAAACTTTAACTAAGTATTGTTATCTTGCATTATCAAATGTTACCATATTTACAATGAAAATGAATCAGTTTTTTTCTTTTAATTTTTGATTACAACATGCCAACATATTTCTCCACAGGGTCACACCTGGACTGCCACAGCCTCCCTGTACTCCCTCACAGCAAGTGGCGCCACCTTGTCTGGTGTTACCACGGCAACCTTTAATGCCTCCAACCAGGGCCAGGCCACATTCTCCGATCTCCGTATCTCCCACACTGCCACCTATCCTAAGAGGTACTTCATTCAGTTTGACGTGACCACCTCGCCGGCCGACTACAACTTACAGGCGGTGTCGAGCTATGTTGAGGTGCAGCCATCAGGTTATGTGGCGCCCACAGAGGAGGTCAGCCATACTGGACAATGGACTTTCCAGGCAGATTATGACGCAGTGGTGGCTGGGAAGGAGGAATACATGAAGGGAACTATCTGGAACTTCTTGATGGGCCAGTACACCAACGCCACCTTTAGGGACATTACTGTTGCCAAAGGTAAGGCTAGATCTGCTTGGGGGAAGTATACATCAATTAATGCAAGAGAAAGAGATAAATATTTAGCTCTTACAGAGGAATGTTTTGACCATTATTTTTGAACTTGGAAATTCAATTTGAAAGACAACATTAAGCAAAGGTAACCTATCTTTTTAAGCCAACAGTAACTTATGAATTTGAAGCCTTTAAAGAGAGGTACTCATTCTTGCGTATTATTTGTTTTTCAGGAAGCATCATTGTGTCATTTGTGATCTATGGAGGCCAAGCAGAGGTCAACGACACTTTGTTCAAGATGTACGATGACCTGCTGACGGGCCTGACCTTGACCTTTAACGGACAGCAGATCACAGCAGAGCCCTCTATGTTGCTGGACTCTGTGGCCTACTACGGATCAGTTGGACCTCCGACAGTAAGCTTTGCTGCACTCCTTTAAAGTCATAATAACTCTTCGTTTTGGCCAAAAATACGATTTTCCTGGAAAAAACGGCAATTTTCCCGTACTTACCAATGGTCAACGACCCCATTCCTGCATTCAAAGTTAATCCAGGGTTATTTTCCTAAACGTATGGTTTTTTGTTAAAATCTCTTAAGAGATTTTACCTGACGGAGCCCTCTCGTATTGAGCGATAGTTTCTGGTGACCTACTTAAAACCGCGGGAAAAACAGACAGCAACAACACTATATAACAATATTATAAGATTCATAAGATATATTCGTCTTTTTGCTCAAAATGCATTTATATCTACAATGTGTGCAATTCTGGGCTTTTCGTTATCCGACGCATTGTACAAAAACTCGCAACTTACGTCTGAGGGTTTCCCGCCATGTTTTTTTGGTCTCGAATGAACGCGAGAATCCGCGTGACACCTAAACTTCATTGGCAACGGATGCACTTGTGGACCGCGAAGGAAGGCTCGAAAGCCCAAGTGACAAGCACAGATATTAGTTTTACTACAATAACAGTCGTTTTAGTGGGAAAATGCAATAGAATATATTTCCAGGCGTTGTTTACAATGTATTTCTTGCGGAATTTTGAATCTCAAAGGAAGAGTTATTATTGCTTTAACTGTTGTTGTTTCAATTTTATCATATTCAAGGGCAATTCTGAGATTGCAATAATAAAAGTAATTTTTGGAAGTGTACATGAAATATATCACAATTAATGCATCGGCATGGATGAAAGTTTCAGGATTGTGCCTGATTTCAGGTTTTTCAATCTTTTTTGATCATTTTTTTCATATGGTCTAAAAGCATCAAGAAATTACAAGCTATGTTTTGGGGCTTTTCGGTTTTTACAACTTTCACCCATGCATCAGTTGAAGTTTGCTTTAACTAAATGTGAAAGACGGCAAAATTCTCAAGTTTATAATTCTATAGTGCACGTAATTGCTCTATTTCAGTCTGAACCAGGTCTTGCCCCAACTGGCCTTCCTCTGTATGTCATTATAGTGATAGTTATCGTTGCCATCCTCCTCACTGTGCTTTTTGTTGGAATCGTGGTTTGGAAGCTTATTTCAAGTAAGTATTTGTAAAGATCACCTTCCTGCTTAGTCTTTGACAAATGGTGGAAAAATATGTTCAGTCTGTTTAGAAACAATTTATTTTATAACTACCAATGAAAGATTAGCATAAAATTGTATATGTATATGAGAATGTCATGATTCAGTTTGATGGTAAGTCATATGTTTACTGCTTATTTTAATCCAGACAAGCACAACATGAAGGTGGCTTCCGTAGAAGACATGCGTCACGAGGAGCCAGATGAGCGCGAGATCACACGCAGAACTAGCTACCTTCCGTTGCAGCATCTCCCTCCGTCCGACAGCCCCATGCATCTGGTGACCAGTCTCCCTCCTGCCTCCACTGCTTGGGCTGTCAAGCCGAAGCTGCCACCGATCAGAGGAAAGAGACTTCTTCATGATGAATCTTTGAGACGCAGACCATCCTTGACCTCAGATCATGCTAAAGAGTGAGGAGATGGGATTGGATGATTAAGCCCTAGGCATTGATTGGATGAAAATGAAAGGGGCTTGATATTTTTTTATGACATAGGAAGTACTTTCTGCAAACCTGTTGTTGTGATAGACTTTACTGCTATGTGATATTTTAATGATAGGACAGTACCTTAATGTCTTATTGTTGCTTGAAGTAAGTGATGAAGTATTTCATATTTTTTATACTGTTGACCCAACGCTGGCGTATATGAGTCAAATATGGTTTACATTTGATAAAACATTTTTCTTTATCCTTTCATGTTCATTCCACAGACTTGGTGACATCATAGATGTTCTAATATAAATGTTAATACTGATGCCCTATGTATATGACAGTAACTTTAAGTTTTCAACTACAGTGTCCTGGGTATATCTGTCTAAGTGAATGATGGCAAAGTTGAGCTTAAAGTGACTAGATGTGAAGTTTCTGTAACTTTTTTAGTGGCACAGGAGGCTGAAGAATCTCAGTATGTTTTGAAACAGAATTTAAAACTTGAATCCGTCCTTCGTACCTTCTTTTCTTTGATCTCAATGTGTTTTGCCCAAGCTGATGCCATCTTATCTGACAGAAAATTTGATTTTATATTTACATATATTTACATATGAAAGTAGTTTTATTTTTTGGTCTTATTGAGAGCTATGGTTATAGCACTTTAAACACAACACTTGGTTCTTTAAGATAAAAAAGACTCAATTTGCATTAAATAATCACAAAGAGAAAAATTGTTTTTTGTTCACTGCTAGTATAGCTATTTACACTTGTTTTGAATGTCATAATTTGCATAGGCATATTTTCAATTTCATTGAAAACTTTTGATCCTGTGAACCGGTTACTCAAACTGAACCGCTTTGTTGTGAAGATTTGTATTTTTTCACTTTTGTAATATTTTGTCAGGCTACACATTTGTAGAAAATACTAAACTGTTTGAGTGTGAGTTGTTTTGTAATACTGACTTGCGTCTTGGACATGGGTCGTAGAGCTTTGTGTTCGCACAACTTTGACCCATTCTTACAGCAGTGTTGTATTTTCAGAAATGAATAAAAACGTAGTGGCTTTTCTGTCTGGATTTGTGTCATTTTGTATCAATGCAGCTGAAATAAGTTTATAAACAGTGTTTAAATGTGCTATGTAAGATTCCCTGCGGGCGGATTTTTTAAAAAAAATTTGCCTTCATTTCAAGCTCTTGATTTCTGGAAAAGACAGAAAAAATTACAATAGGGACTCGCGGGGGTTGGGGGGGGGGGGGGATTTCTCGCAATATGAATATGAAAATACCCACCAGGACTCTCATAATGGGCATTATCATAAAATAATATCAAACGTTAACATGGTTTCTACAAATTATCTTTTTAAAACGATGTTAAGTTTTTCTAAGCACCATACAAGTGCGTCAAGGTGAAGGTTCACAGAATTTGACTTTGTTGAACTGGAATACTTACGCGAGGACCCTTTTATCTTCTGCCAAACATCAGGTCCCAAAACCATATTTCAAGGGATTGCCTGGTGGTTAGAAAAACTTGCACTTAAATTGTTTTACAGGCACTCGGCCAGTGATTATAAACCAGCCTTTATTATTATTAATTTAAATATAAATATTAAAAAATAAATGTAGTCCTACCTTTATGTCCATACTAAATTACTCTGATTTTCTTCAAGAGAGTTTTTCTCCACGGGTGTGGACATGTGTCACAATATTTTCGTTAATTGAAGAAGTTGTTAGAGAAGCTGTCGTTACTTATTTATTTATTTATTTAGCTTTTGAAATAGAATAAACACGGTAAATAAAAATGTGCAGCGAAATTAATTGCATTAGTTGCGACAGCGGTTGCGTTATGAAGATACGATTGTGTCGAGATGTTTATAGATGGCGACACTGCCGCTGTGGACCACATGGCTAGCTGTGCTGAGGGAGAACACAGCCAGAGATCCTGTGGCATTTTACGCTAGTTTAGTAAGTTTGGACTTCCTCCTAGAATGCTTGATTCACTACAAGTATGTTGCGGTTTTAGAAGATTAGCGTGTGTGATTTGCGCTGGATTGTATAGTTTTTAGGGAAATATTAGCCCGTCGTTTGCCGGCTTCTTTAACTTCTTCGTTCTCAAGCACACAACTCAAGTCTGGTAGCATACGAAACCCTGTGTGGGGTAGGTACACAGAAAGAATTAATTTGCTTTCGTTGTTGGGTTCATTAAGTCATAACGACATGTTATATTTACTGTGTTTTACCAGCTTTTTTTATCAAAATGTTTTATATTTTAATTTTTTTTTTCAAATGTAATATTTTTAGACTTCTGTTAACGCTACATTTTTCAAAATACAACATTGTCTATACCTTCAATAAATATGTCATAATCATTACCTATATTTATTCACTTATTTATTTATTTATTTATTCTGGCCTTATGCTGAAGATATAACTTGCCTAGATATAAAAAAGATATAGGTATATTTAATTATTTCTGCCAATATTACGTTGAAAAGTATGAATAAGGATATTTTGTTTCCAGAAAATGTCTAACATTTTAAGAATAGTTTTCAAAAACCTTTAAATTAATCCTTTAATTCACCAAGTGTGATATCCCAGTTAGTGACACCCTCTCTCTCTCTCTCTCTTTCTCTCTCATATAAGAGATGCAGTTATAATAATCTTGCCTAAGACATATTTGACAAAATTTGATCTTGTTGGATAGTTCACATGATTCCAACTGGGTGCGTCATGAGACAGCCCAGCCATTGTGAGAAAACTGCAGGTGTCATACTATAATATTTCTTGCATTCCTTTTATCATATTGAAAGTAGTAGAACTCTCCATCTCCCACCCTGGGAGTCAAGAGTTGATGAGTTCTTTCCATGTGTCATCATAATTGAAGCAGATTAGAGTGCAATGGGACAGCTACATTCTTGTAACAGTTGATCCGTACAAGAAGTTATAAATTTTTGATCCGTACAGCGAGAAATCCTCTTGTATTCTTCGAGAATGGGAAGCTTTTTCCAACATCGTTTCTGGATGAATTGTATTGATCATATTTTCCTGAAAAAAATAAAATAACATTATTAATGATGTATATATATGTAGGTTTAAGTGATTAACCATCAAGAAGTAAGTGCATTTTAAATAAAGCAGCTGGTAAAAGAATTAATTAGCAAGAAAGCAGAGTATTCAATATGCCAGAAAACTAATATTTTTGTTCATTGCTGAAGGCAGTTGTTTCAACATGAGGGAATTTCTTTTTCCCATGTTAATTTGGATGCATGGGTGAGAGTTTTCAACTTTTTAGATTTAACTGTCTCCACCCCCCCCTCAACCCCCCCCCACCCCCCACCCACCACCACCACCATCAAAACTGTGTTTCCTGGTCCTAGTTTTTAAAAGTTGGATCTTCAGTTGCATGCTAAAAGAGAGTATATTATATAATATAAAGTCTTTATGAAAAACAAAGTGCTCCCCCTGTGCAATAAGGCAGTATTAACCTTTCTTATACTGTGAAATAACAGATAACAGCAGTTGGCTATATAATGGGCATTCCATGCTGCTTGGGCCATAATAGACTGTTGGAGGACATGTGGATTAAAGGCCTCAAGGTGCAAGCTTTGTTCTCTGAACAACCTACATGCTTTCTGTGACAGCCTCATTTATCACGGATACCTCAGTCAGTCACCTTGTTGTGCAGGGGCAAGTTTGGGGGTATTTTATGACTTAGGTCGTGCAGGGTGTCTCATTTATTTACACATATATATCTAACCCTATGTTCTAAAGTTTATATGTTCCCAAAATAGGTATAGGACTCGGATGTGTCTTCTGTCGATAATTCCTAAATGAGACAACTTATTTTTAAGTTATTTTTTAGAAAGGATAACCAGGTTCAAGTCTCATATGGTTATTTAATTAGAAGGCATAATTTTGATGACACTTTTTTTTTCAGTGTTTAACTGGATGTTTGCATGTCTGCATATTTGGCAGGCATAACACACATAAATCATTCTCGTGCCATCTCATTTTTTGTTACCCCATTAGGTTTATTCCTAGATTCTTTTTATACTATCTTGAAATAAAACCTTGTTGAATAGACTCAATTTTTGCTGCTTTTTATTCTGCTTACTCACGAGCACCTCTTTTGGCAGACATAAATATATCTCTATTTTGGCATGATATCTATACAGATTGTCAAAGTGAGTCTGATGTAACTTTACATCAGTTTTGTTTTATACCAACAGCTGTTTTCACCAAATCAAATTTTAATTTGAGGGGAAAAATCAATATGTTCATTTCCTTGAGTCAAGCTTAATTAGTTGTTGTATTTAACTTGTATTTAACTCATGCTACTTTATGCAATGTATAATAATTAAAAAAATATGTTTGTAAGATGGTCCATAGTATGCCTCACCTAATTTCATGTTTGTATATATATTGCCAAAGTCCTGGTGGGTAATCATCAGCGCCCCACCCCCGTCCCACCCCACCCCAGCTTGGCACTCGCTTTCATCCTGGGTGTTTATAAATATCAATACCCTATATTTTCACCCCCACCCCAACCTTACCTCCCCCCTCCCCCAACTTCCAGCTCAACATTTGCTTTTTATCCAAGGTGTATAAAATGATGTCAAGATCTCTGTCTTGGTGGGTTGAGCATCAGCTTCCCAACAGCCTCATCCCCACCCCCCATTTCCAGCTGAACACTCCCTGAACACATCCTAGATGTATAAAATGACGTCAAGACCTTGTCTTGTGGGTTGACCAACTCTCCAACCCCCCCCCCCCCCCTCAAAACCCCCTCCCTCACCCCCCA